GTGTGTGCAGGTCCTGATCCCGTTCCCGGAGGACGGCTCTGTGGAGGTGGAGCAGAACGTGGACCTGCCGGACTACCTGCCGGAGGAGGAGAGCCCATCTCAGGAGCCCGACAAGGCGGTGAGCCGAGTGGGATCGGGGCAGGACGGAAACAGCTGGCTCGGAGCCGCCGCCAACTTCCTGTCCCGCTCCTTCTACTGGTGACCGGGCGGAGGGGTCGGCGCTGCCCCGCGGCCCCGCCTCCCACCGTCGGACCTTCGTCCTCGTCTCAGAACAAAAATTCACAGCTGCCAAATCAGGATGTTCAGCTGGAGAGACGACGCAAAGTGTGAAATGTTGCCGTGGAAACCGTTTCCTCCTGGGGTCCCACGCTCAGTCTGACCTGCACGTGGCGACGTCCTCTCCATGAACCAGTCCTTGTGTTACAAACCAAAATGTCTTAACAGACAGGAAGTGAACAAACCCCGAGTCAGAACAAACGAGACTCCTCCTCCTTTATACTGTTTATTATTTATTCGCCCTCGTGCCGTTTGACGTGTTGGAGCGGCGGTGGCGAGCCGTGCCTTTCAGTTTCTCTGATCACAAACTTCCTGCTGCTTCCTTTGGGGCTGCAGAGATCGACCAACACGAGCGAGAGAAGAAGAGGTGGTTAAACACTGCGCCGGGCCGAGCGGAGCGTTTCCTGTAATGTCTGAGCGCGGGCTCGTAACGTGAGCCGCGTGTCGGGGTCAGAGGTGAACGGTCAGACTGTTCCGCTCATATGTGGCAGATGTGTTAACGTGAGGAAGGACATAACCACAGCTCAGTCAGCTGAGACCCCTCAGGGCTTTGTGCCGCGTGCTGGGGACACGGAGCAGATCATGGCTGCGTCATTAGAGGAGCACGCGGCCGCTTTAACGCTCTGCTGCAGAGGCGTTTACTGACCTGCAGGGTCAGAAGCACAGGTTGGAGCTGTGGGGGTTTTCACAGGTAAAAAAAATGAAGCTGCTGCTCCATCAGTCAGCCCTCGGGGTTTCCACGGGAACCGTCACGTACCTTGGCTAACTTCAGCTATAAAACTCCTGACTCGTGTCCCTGTGGGCAGACAGCTTCACTGAGAGCTCAGAGGACTTCATGTTCCTGCTGTCCACTGTTGTGCAAGTTCCACTGACCAACCACGTTTGACCTGTGGTCCTCGTGGAGTGGAAGAACGTGTGG